GGGAGCTGCTGAGAGGGACCCTGCCTTTCTCTTGGACTTCTTGGCTTTCTGGAGTCGCTTCAGCTTCAGCTCCTGTTTCTTGATCCGCTTCTTCTTCTGGGAGATGAGGTGGTCAACATCCACACCACACTAGAGACACAAGCCAGAGGTGGGGTTAGGTATTCGGGGGAGCCGAGGGGTCCTCAGACTCCCCTTCCCCCTACCGGACAGGGAGACCGGTCTCACCCTCTGCTTCAGCGAGTCACAGTAGAGCTCAGCATTGGCAAAGTACATGGTGACTGAGGAGCGGAAGACCTTCACACCTGGGACTTCCTTGGCCTGGAGATGAGGTGAGGTTGGGGTGGCCGAGCCTTCCTTACCTTCCACTGCATCTTCTCTCACCTTCACCCCTTAGAGGGCCCAGTGCCTCCCCAACCCGCCTCTGTCTCCAGCCTGTGACATATACCCTCCTGGGAGCCTGGGCCATGAACCTGGCTAGGTGACTTTCACTCCCTGTCCTGCCCAGGCCCTGTCCCTCCCCACTCTCCTGCCCTTCCCAGGATTTGTGGCTATTAGCCCTCTCTCTTCTTGGGTCTCCTAGCTCTGCTCTGTGCTCCCCTTCTCCAAAGGGAGAAACCTCTCTAAGCTGTCATTCCAACCGGACGTTTCCCAGATCTCTCACCATTGAGTACCCAGTCCAGGTCTAAGCTGGGTATTTGGGCCTGCACCATGTGACACACACACCCCCAGCTTCAACCTGGGCTAGTCCATTCATGTTCTTCCCATACTTAGGCCGCTCACTCTACCCCTTATCCTGCCTAATCATACTATGCCCAGTCTTAATGTTTCCATGATAGGGTCAAAAGGCTTATCTTTTCCAGAGTCTCACACAACCTGTGTTCTCAGGCCTTGGTATGAGACGTTCCAGGACATAAACTAGGGATTGGATTGGACACTTTGTAATTCTACTGATCGGATTAGGAAACAACCTCCCCTATATCCTATGCCTCTGCCTGCTCCTCCACTCTCCTGACCCAGGGGTACTGGATAGGGTGGGGCTTGTGCTGCGGGTTCCAAGCTCATCTCATCTGCTTATACCTTAAATGAGGGTCAGAGACACAAACTCCTGTCTTCAAATTACAGAGAACAAAGCCAAAGTGCTCCCAGCCTATGACACATACCCTCTTAGGATATGTAATGCATGCATGTGTGTACACATATATGTGGACGGATGCATTTTCTGTGGAGGCCAGAGGCTGACATTGGATGTCTTCCTCTATTGATCCCCACCTTTGAGACAGGGTGTCTTATTGAATGTGATGATTACCAACTGGCTAGTGAGCCCCAGAAATCCTCCTGTCCTCCTTACCAGCAGTGAGATTATAGACATACATGCTGCCATACCTGGCACTTTAAATGGTTGCTGGGGATCAAAACTCAGGACTTCATGTTTGTGCAGAAAGCACTTTACCCACTGAGTCATTCTCTAGTCGTTCCCCTCAGTGTTCATAGACAGGAACATGTTCATGTTCACAAGGAAGGGAATAAAAAGGGCCCGTTATACCTTTGGTCTGCCCTGCCCCCTACCCCATTCAGCCCCTGCCACTCACCCCTGAGTATTCTGCCACATCTCTATAAATATCCGTGTCTGGCACCTGCCCCAGGACAGAGTAATGCGGCCTGAAGAGAGAGGGAGGGCAAAAAAGGAGGCAAAGAGAAGAACATGAGAGGAAGAAAGAAGAACATGGAGTGTCCCCAGAGATGTGGGGAGCCAGTGCAGAACTTACTCCCTCACCGAGATGAAACTGGGGTGACCAAAGGGCTGACTCACAGCTGTGTTCGGAAAACCACAAGCAGCAGGGCAAAGACTATGGAAACTGCCAGACCAATGTCCAGGTTCAGTAGGATGGTGGCCACAAAGGTTACCAGCCAGATTAGCTGAAAATGGAAGGGTACGGTCAAAGGGTCCATTGACACTAAAGACCCCAAGCTCCGCCCTGGCTCCCAGGGTTCTTACCAGGTCCATTCGATTTGACTTCCAGAGGGAACAGATGTCAGAGAACTGCTTCATCATGCCCTTAAGATTCACAATAATGACAGCTGCCAGGACAGCCTGGGGCAGGGAAAGTCACCAGGGCTGCTGAGAGGTACCCGGAGGCTCACAGCCTCCACCACCCAGGCGTGACCCACGAGGGCTGACCAAGCATCTGGGCAGAGCCCAGTCCACAGCCACTACCACCCACACCAATTTTAACCCATTGGTTCTGACTAATAAAAATTCTTTTCTTCAGTCTTTTTGAGACAGGGTCTCCCTGTAGCCCCAGCTGGCCTG